CGCGGGAGGAGGCAGGCAGGCAGGCAGGCAGGCAGGTGTGAGGGGCGATGACAAACAGGTGGCAGCGCGGGGAGCAGGCGGCGGCACTACAGCGGCGCGGGCGGGCGGGCGGGGCGGCCCGGAAGCCCGGAAGCCCAGCAGCCCCAGCCGCGGCGATGCACGGCACGCTTGGCGCCGCCGCCGCCGCCTGGCGGGTCTCACCCAGCCCAAAGTCTGTGATGCGCACGTGCCCCTCCCCATCCAGCAGCACGTTCTCGGGCTTCAGGTCCCTGTGCCACGGGAGGCGCGCAGAAGGGAGAGAGAGGGAGAGGGAGCGTGCGCGCACGTGTGTGAGTGCCTATGCTTGTCATGCGAGGGGGCGGAGGCCGGGCAGCAGGGAGGGAGAGGGCAGCCGCCTGGGGCGCCCTGCCGGCGCCGGCGCCGGCACAGCACGCCTCCCAGCAGCAACAGGCTCCCCCCACACACACCACACACACACACACCACACTCCCCCCACCCACCTGTGCACAAATCCCAGGGAGTGGAGGTGGGCGATGGCCAGCACGATCTCGGCGCAGTACAGGCGCGCCAGCGGCTCGTCAAACGTGCCCGCGCGGTACAGCTGGAAGAACAGGTGGCCGCCGTTGATGAAGTCCAGCACCAGGTAGAGCTTCTTGGGGGTCTGCGCGCGCGTGTGTGTGTGTGTGTGTGTGTGTGTGTGTGTGTGTGTGTGTGGAGGCGTGGGTGGGGGAGGCGAGGGGGCGCGTGAGTGAAACGTGGGGTGGTGGCCGGGCGAGGCGCGCGTGGTTGTATGGGAGTTCGATGTGCGATGCACGCGCGGACGTCTTTGCAGGGTGTGCGCGTGCACCACGCATGCTGCCCCAGTCCACGCCCAAGCATTCCACAGCTCCCAGCCACCGTAGCCACCGCAGCCAGCCCCCCAGCCGCCTCCCCCCCCAACCTGGAAGGAGTATCGCAGGGTGACGATGTACGGGTGCACCACCGCGGTGAGCACGTCCCGCTCAGCCTTGACGTAGTCCCGGTGGTCCCGCTCCAGCACGCGGTCCTTGCGCATGACCTGGCAGGCGGTACGGGCGGTACGGGCGGGCCAGGGGGGCGAGTTGGGCAGGCGCGGCGGGGGTGGGAGGAGGAGGGGTGAGGAGGGGCCTGGTGCTGAGAGCGTGGGCCCCAGGCACGCCTCTCCATGCACCCGCAGCCCGCTGCCGCGCCCCCCCTGCACCCGTAGCCCGCGGTCCCGCCACCTTCCGCGCACCTTCATGGCGAAGATCTCCCCCGTGTCCCGCCTGCGCACTTGGAACACCTTGCCAAACGCGCCCTGCCCCACCACGCGCAGCAGCTCAAAGTCGTTGGGCCCCAGGCGGCGCCGCCCGCTGGCGGAGGCCAGCTCTGCGGGGGGGCAAGCAGGGGGCGGGGGAGTGGCGATGG